AAATGCAGATCTAGTAAGCACCGGTAATGTTTCGAGTTGATGAATGTTCACCGACCGCTAACAGAACCCACTTGTCCCGCTCCGTCTTTGCCTTCGGCCTCATTTCTCGGGCCTTGACATCAGCTGTAGTAGCTACTAGTCGATGAATACTCATCAACTAGTGTCAACACCTAAACCGACAATAGAACGAGCTCGTGGCTCAATGGTTACGACGTAAGATTCTTATCAAAAAGGTCGCGAATTTGAGCCACGGCTGGTGCACCACTTGGGTCCAAGGATGACTGGCTGATGACGGCTAATAAGCCAGAAATTGCATTCCAGTCTCCCTTGTCTTTGCCAGAATTATTATTCGCCTGCACTATCCGCTGCTACGGCTGCTGTCAGGGGCCAAGAAATGAGACCCAGGACAAAGGCAGAACGGGACAAGTGAATTTTTCTTAGCGGTCGGTGAACTTTCATCAATAAGTCTCAGTATCTCCCGACCTAAACCGGTAGGACAGCGAACTTGTGGCTCAATGGTTAAAGCGTTAAACTCCGATCAATAGGTCATCAGTTAGGACCTTGAGCAGTGCACTGCTTGGGATTGAGTATGACGGCTTGACGATGGCTGATAAGCCAAAAATGCCTGTTCCAGTCTGTCTGGTCTTTGTCGGCAATATTATCTGGTAATGATTCATGTTTACTAAGTACTAATCTACCAGACGTTAAACATTTCTACCGGCTATATTTTGCAATAGCTAATACGCGCTGTATTCTGTGTCAGCCAGATCGCTTCGGGGAACGAGACCAGAATGCGTGGCCAAACGCCAATCCTCTAAGGAATACCTTGGTAAGCCTGCCTGTTCGAAAAGCTCCGTCGCAAGTTTGCAAGGACTCCGCTTATCCACCTACACAAAAGGCTTCATTAACAATGACCACCAACATTTGGCTAATAATAGCCGACGCATTTAGACAGTATGACAAGTGGTTACTCTGCAGAACTCCCGCTTGCCCGCCCATAATACATAAAGCAAAGGGGAATGTCCCTCCTCAGTCCGTTATTCCATGAAGGTTGCACATCCCTATGCTGTAGGTCAACAATTATTTTACATCCCACTATCTAAACCCCGAGGGTATATGCACGTCAACACCTCTCCCCCCCGCAAACTCCCGACCACCCCCATGAGGTAAAGCACTCTTATTCAGCTCGTCGAAAGGAAGAGCCTCAGTGGTCACCT